ATCAAAATTGGTTTCGAATTCAACAATATCATTGGAGTAAATTCGAGAATGTTGACAGTAAACAAAATTTATGAAAATATCATATTTTACTGATTGTTCCCAACAAAATCACTCTTACTGTCGTTTAGAGTAATTTCGTTATTTATGATTATCGTAACTGTTATGGCATTGTTGCTGTTCTCATTGATTTCAGCTGAATATTTCGCTATCTCTATCAGTAATGATCAAATTTGCATTGCACTTCAACAGTTCAATCGAATTGCTCGAAGCGAATAAGATTATAATCTATTCAGGGTTGGGGAAGTCCAAGGAAGAACACAACCGCATCAAAGGAGTCATCCGGCTATGGTTCAGGCAGTTCCGAATCGGATCCGGAATTTGATCAGGTTTGCAAATTTATCCTCCTCAAATCCTCTCTCCAAATGCACAAAATCACCAACTATTCAAAAAAGAAACACTTCACTTGGTGTGTTACTGCGCAGTGCAGCGATACTCTGTCTCCTGAGGCTACATAATCAAAACAACAATAAGTATTAGACAAAACACACAACAATAGTATATCATCAGCAATGCTCTTTGAAACTTCACTACTCGTGGCTGATTTCTTCTGACTGATCTGTATTCTTAGTGCAAGACGTTGTTCGCGTAAACAACAACTGCAAATGTAAGAGACGGTGCTCATAAAATTATTGAAGAAAGCCTTTTTCCCGTCTTGTTGTTATTGTTTCACCTAAAGTCAACTGCTTCAGAAGATTACGAATCAGATGGGTTCGTTCCTGCAACCGAATTTTAACCAATAAACTGCTAATTTTAGTTGTTGCACACATTGAGGGAAGGTGTAAGCACAGAGAATGGACGATTATCGCGACAATTGAACGAAATTCAATCGAAAATTCGATCCAGAAATGCTGGTGTAAGTTTTCAGTGAATATTTATGCTTATCGTTAACCTATCAGCACACAAGAAAGTTGGATACAGATTTTGTGTTCACCTATCAGACATTGACGTTGATTTTGTTTTTCAAAAACAGTGCGATGAATTTCAGTTGGAAAAGAGTAGACGAAGGAGTGTACCTGCGTATCTACGAGAAGCTTTCCCCAGTAAGCTGCCGACTTCAGTTTTTTTTTGTCATCTTGGGAATTTCAAAAAAAAAAAGAAACAAATTTCTCATTTGATGTTTCGTAATTCATGGAATCGTTGAGTGCAGAGATTTTTTTGCAAGTTGCACCAAGCGATTTGCTCTATGCGCAAAGTAAAATTTCACTCGGTCTCGATTGAGAGCTGATGTATGAGCGAGATGACACTCCTGTCTGCGTTGTATTCTAGAGTTATTGCTTTAAGCAATATCAACTAGCAAATTGATGTTGCTTGAAAATTGTGAATGTTTACGCAAAAATGATCAGTGAGAAACATAAGAATTTAATGAGTTACACATCAGAACTTTATTAGTTACACACGAGTCATTAAAATTTACATAGTGCAAGCATCTACACATCATCTAATTGATGTACTACCGCTGCAACGAAATGGATTGTGAAATGGTTTGCATTTTTACAGGCGAAATATTTCGTGTGCTCGAAACAGGTGGTGTGCTGCAATTCGAAACTGATGCGGTAAATTACAAACGTCGTTTTCTTAAGTTTTTATACGGTTTTTCAAATTGAAATGCAGCGCCGCGTAAACGTATTATTTAACGGATGTTCTTCATTTGTTGAAACGTAAATTTAAATTTGCGAAAATTTCGTGATTCACCTGAAAGTGAGTGATAATACATTTATTAATGTACGACGCATTGTGAATGCGCAATTCACGATGAATGCTTTCGTGGACTTGTTTCTGTGGTTGAATTTAATTAGATACGTTAGTGATGGGAATATATCAGTGAGCAAATCAAATGGGATTCATTCATACACACACATTCATTTATTTATGCATCTGTTCCTCTTTTGAGACGAGTCAAAACGAGATTTTTGCAAAATGCAACGAAAATAATTGACTTTCTAGTCGAGCACTTGCAGTTCATTGAAATATCCCGGAGTCGATTCGATTTATCGTTGAAATCCTTGTTTTTGCTCTTTCAAAGCAAATAGATTGGAAATTATACTCAGGCAGAGTATTTTTAGCCTTATTTAGAGAATATCCTTTTGATAGTTACTAGTGGACAAGTCCGACTAGCTAAGGTTTCTGCATCAACTAAAACACTTCAAAACCACTTCAGCAGTTCACTTGATGAGAAGTGAAACTTGTGTGCATGAAAAATGCTTCAACTCGAGATTTCGAATTGTGTTCGTTGCAGCGATTACCAAAATTTCGGTCACATGAAAATAACTTAACTCAGTGATCTTCGACTGAACACTGATCTGATTTGATCTAATAATAAGCGATAACAGCTGCATACACCTTTGTTCTTTTCACTGATTTATTCAATCTTTTGTTTGTATTTATTCTTATTGTTAGTATTACTACTTTTGTTATTATCATCACTTCATTAATTCATGTAATTTTTCATCATTTTACTCATTATTTACTCGATCGGAAATCGAAAAGACAGTCTTAATCAGAAACACTGCGATAATGCTTTATTCTTGAAAATCGTCATTTTCCAACGGGGGCAGTGGAAGACACTCCTAATCCTAAGAGAAAATGAACTGAAAGTTAAGTTAATTTACCAACAGCTATCGCATTACGAAATTGCAACCAACTGACCGCACGCAACTGAATCATTTCGTTTTGGCTTGACTGAAGCGACAAAACGATAAAAACTAAGTTTGAACTAGAAAACGCTTGACAGGCGTTGTTCACTCAGAATTGAACATGATGACTTGTCAGTATCTATCGTAGGTTCAGTTGACAGAGTTGACAGAGCAGTTCTTATAAGATAGCAGTTCTCGCACATTTCTCTCTGGGAATTAATCGCTCGTGCCACTTGACGAAAATGAGAAACTTGAGAAAATCTCATGGAATTTCTTCCTCCAGATTTGATGAGTTTGTGATCTCTAGATAATTGGGTAAACATTACACATGGAGAGCACAATTCTTACGGTACCAGTATGAAGTATGGCATCGAAATTCACTATTGTCATTGAATAATCATTTAATGAAAACACAGTGCCATTATTTGGTCATTACTGAAACATTGCGATCGACTTTAACCAACATTCATCTGACTCGATTAAGCTGAACACGAATTAGATGTTGTTGCAATCATTTGCGAAAAAAAAAAATGAAAACTTTTCATAAAATGCAATTCCAAATGAAAAATGCATTAGGCTGCTGCATTTTTGATTTTAATTGTGGACAATTTGAAATGATTAATCACTTCGAATCGCCGTTTCTATGTTGTTTTATTTATGAATTCCATTTTATTTTTCCACAAGAAAAAACGAAAAAAAAAGATTTCAAATTTCACATAAAATTTCCAACGAACATCAACCACATAATGACGATGATGATGAAGAACAACAATTAGTTGAAGTCATTCCGAAGTGTTTCTGTTTTGTTTTTTTTTTGCGTTATACTTAAGCAATTTTTAAGATATTAACGACAAGTTTGTGTGAGCATACAAACGTAAACGCGTTCATAAATGCCATTTTACCGATTCCAGCCGTTCATTTCATCCATCAGATGACGTTCACTGTAAACAGTGCCCTCC